ATAGTGAGAAATGGTGAAAGGGTATTATTTAAAGAGATAATGCCTGAGAATTTTCCCAGGACTGATGAGAGTGATCAAAGCTCAATCAAGAAGCACAGTTGCTGATCAGAAGAACTAAAATCAATTCTATGGCCAGATGCCTGAAATAAAACAGCAGAACACCAGAGACAAAGGTAGTATCTTAAAAGAACCAAGAAAAAAAGAGATTACTGGTAACTTCAAAGAAATAATTAGAATGACTTTTTTATAGCAACCATAAAGATCAGGAAAAAAATGGAGTATTTGCAAAGTGCTAACAGAAAATAACTGTGACTTCTTGTTTGGCTAAACTATTAACAGTGAGGGCAGACTTCAGATTGATAGAGTTTACCACTAGCAGCCCTCTACACCCCCCAAAATGATGATGATGATGATGATGATGATAATAATAATAATAATAATAAAACTATTAAAAAAGGGAATTTAAGAAGCAACAGTGAACAAAGAAACTGGTAAACATGTGAGCTACCTCAAGTAAACACAGGCTCTGAAACCACAATAGTAAGTTACTACTAATTTGCAATGATATAAAAACATGGTAAAACTAAAAAATACTAAATAATAGAAACACTGCAGATAGGGGAAGATAATTATGTTAAGGAAGATGAAACAATTCACATTAGAGCCACAGTTCTTAAATGCTGGCATGCACCAGAATCACCAGGAAGGCTTGCTAAAACAGACTGTGAACTTTACTAATAAAATTTCTGATCCAGTAGGTCTAGGCTGGCACTTCTAAACAGTTCTGCGGGATGCTGATCCTGCCGCTCCAGGACCAGTAGGAGATCGATACATCTGATTTTAAGTCAATATACAAATTAATCTTCAAGACAAAGATGTGGCAGTCTGCTTCCACAAAGACAACAGCCTTGGAAACCCTATGGGGGAAGTTCTACTCTGTCCTATAGGGTCATCACTATGAGTAAGAATCAACTTGATGGCAACAGGGAGGTGGGATAGGCTGGAGGGTACGCATGTTTAAAAATTTAAGGGTAACCACCCAAATAAAGTAGTACATATCATTTACAACTTAAGGAGAGGAAAAAGTAGGAATAAGAGAACATAATTCCACTGAAGGCAGGAAAGGAGAAAAACAGATGGTAGAAGTAAATCCAACTATTAGTAATCACAATAAATATAAAGGACTGACTTCACTAGTTAAAAGATTAAGACCATCAGATTGAAAAAAATCTGCTATATATGGAATATATTATAAAGCTTTCATAATTAAGACAATAGGAAACGGCACAGAGATAGGCAAACTGACCAATGAAATAGAACAGAGAACCCAGAACTGACCCATACACATAAGGAATTCTGATATATGACAGAAGTCATACTGTAGATAATTGAGGAAAGGATGAACTACTCAATAAACAGTGTCAGGACAACTGGTTATCTGTAAAGGGAAAACAAGAACTGAATTCCTGTGTCACACTGTACACAAAATGCAATTCAGAATTAAATATTTTCTGGGGGACTTCTAGGCTAACTGGCATAACACAGTCCATAGACGCTTTGGTGAGTAGCAAATGGGGTCTTTAAAAGCTCATGCATGAGTGGCTATCTAAGTTACAACTATTGGTCTCTTTCTGTCCAGAGCAAAGAAGAGTAAAGAAAACCAAAGACTCAAGGAAATAATCCAATAATTCTAATGGACCACATGAACCACAGCCTCCACAGACCTGAAATGAGAACTAGATGGTGCCTGGCTACTACCACTGACAGCTCTGACCAAGACCGTAACAGAAAGTACCAGGTAAGAACAGGAAAAAATGTAGAACAAAATCTAAATTCATAAAGATGACTAGACTTACTGGTCTCACAGAGACTGGTAGAACCCCCAAGGTTATGATGCTGAGACACCCTTCAAACTTAGGACTGAAGTCACTCCTGGAGATCACCTTTCAGCCACATAAAACACAGGCTTATAAGTGAACAGTAGCACCTGAGAGAAACATGCTCCTCAGAATAATCTATATGATACCAAAAGAGCAGCATTTGCCCTAAAGCAACGTTTAAAAAGGTAGGAAGGGGCAGGAAAACTGGGCAAACAGAAACGGGGAACCCAAAGTGGAAATGGGATAGTGCTGACACATTGTGGGATTGCAACCCATGTTACCAAATAGTCTGTGTATAAATTGTTGAACTGGAATGGATTGGCTCTGTAAACTTTCACCTACACCACAATAAAATGCTAAAAAAAAATTAAATAACATATTTAAATGTGAAAGGCAAAGCTTTGAAACCTTTACAAGAGGACTTCTTAAAAAGAGCTAACCAGAAAAGCTTGATGAATTCAACTACTTTAAATCAAATGTTCTGTTCATCAAAAGATACTATAATGTGATCAAGCATGTGATTGACACAAAATGATTATGACAGAGGAAAACACTTAAAGGAGTACATGAGTATTCCTTTATGCTTATGCAACAAAGGTGAATACTATTACATACACAATCCTCAATAACATAATAGCAATAAGCTGCAAGTGGATACATAGACACTCAAGCTTAGGGTAGGAAGGCAAATGGGACTACACACGAATATATATAGATATACAAGGTATTTCTACATTGTATTTATATGTGCTGCAAATATATCTATGAATATAGTAGAGGATACATGAGGCAACTTATGAAAACTAAGCTATAACCAAACACCTTGAGGGAATGAGTCGCTGGGCTTGGAGGTATAGGACTATAGTCCTGGGGGATACTAAGGTGAACTGGCATGACACAGTCTACAAAGACAATGTTCTATATCCTACTTTGGTAAGTAGTGACTGAGGTCTTAAAAGCTTGTGAGTGGCCACCTAAGGTACACTATTGCACTATTGGTCCCTCCACATCTGGAACAAAGAAGAATGAAAAAAATCAAAGACGCAAGGAAACAATTAGTCTAAATGGACCAGAAGAACTAGATGGTACCTGGCTACCACTGCTGGAGGAGCTCTGGTGGTATAGTGCCTAAGGCATCTGATTGCTAACCAGAGGCTGGCGGTTCAAACCCACCAGCCACTCCTCTCGGAAGGAAGGTTAGGCATCTACTTCCGTAGCGATGCTGCCTCAGAAACCCAAGGAGGGGTTGCTATGAGTCGGATCCGACTCAACAGCAGTTGAGTTACCACTGCTGGCTGCTCTGAAACAGATCATAATAGGCGGTCCCAGATAGAATGGGAGAAAAATGTAGAACAAAACTCAAAATCATAAAAAAGACCAGGGATATTGGTAGAATCCTTGAGAACTATGGCCT